ATACACTGCGTCCGCCGGTAATCAAACCCGGGTCGCCTCGATTGCAACGAGGCATTCTACCACTAGACCACAAACGCAAAAGCAATTAACTTATGTGAAGCTTGCGGTCCGCTTTTTGTGTTCAGCCGCATGCCTTTGACCTTCTCTTTTATTGAAACCTAGAGTTTTTCAAACTCCGAAACAGCGATTAATGTTAAGTAATGCCGTATTACTAATAACATCACTTCTCGCTATCACTTCCCGGAATCCGAAAGGAACCTCTTACCGACTCGGGCATGACAGCTGGTCTAGGGAGGTATAGAGTAGACGGTACGGCTTCTGTCACATACGGAAGTCCACCGTAGAGAGGTATGAGCGGGTGTTGGTGGGGTCATACGCGGATTGTTTCCGGGGTAAATTAGACGTGGTGAAATCAGCAGATCCCCAGATCATCTATGCACTATTCTGCATTGTAAAAGAAGCTCGTTTAAACATCCTAGGTAACCCTTGGATGAGGACCCTGAAGGCTGCTGTATGTTTCAATGATGATGAAGTTAGAAACGAAGCTGGAAAGCTATCTTTATTCACCAAGGAAGTTATACATTACCTCGATGTGTTCAATGTTGGTCCCAAGATCGTTGATGTCAATGTGATGGCTGATCCTGCACCAGTTTTCGTTGAGACTCAAGCGGTCTTCGCATGACACCTTGCTTTAGCGGTCGTGGTCTAGTGGCTAAGACGTCTGCTTAACACGCAGAAGTTCCCGAGTTCGATCCTCGGCGTCCGTTGAGGTAAGACTAATCAACACGCCGAGTGTGCGTTGTCCACCGGGTCCAGGTGGTAAGAATACACGACTTTCACTCGTGCGACCCGTGCATAATGACAAGGCTCCGGGGTAGCACATAATCTTGACGAGTTGGAGGAAAAGAGCACGTTTGTGAGCCAGCATTGCTGGGATGGTGAGTGAATCCGCGCAATCTGTGTGGGTCGGATTGGCAACCACCAGGCCAGTTTGCTACATGTGTGATGTGACCGACCGCTTTTCTCCGAGACCGGGAATTGAACCCGGGTCTTCCGCGTGACAGGCGGAAATACTAACCACTATACTATCTCGGGCTGGACATTTGTGATGTGACCGACCGCTTTTCTCCGAGACCGGGAATCGAACCCGGGTNTTCCGCATGACAGGCGGAAATACTAGCCACTATA